CTGTTAACATTGTGAAGGGATACGTCCACTTTGCCGGATTTGAACCAGAATTTCTCTAAGAAAAGAACGTCATGTTTACGTCATGTTTACGTCATGTTTACGTCATGTTTACGTCATGTTTACGTCATGTTTAACTGTTTTTAAAAAACGTTATTAGGGAATATGTTCCCGATGCGAGGGGTGGGAGAGTGGGGTTGGCTATTTCTACAGTGGGCTTGGAATAGTGATGAAGACTAGTCCTGACTTTGTCATGCTGGAAGCTCTTCGTATCCACTGAAGAACAAGGGTCGGGGGGTATGTGGGGCGACACTGTGTTAGTGCTCACAGTTTTCCTCCCACTGACACCAATGATGGAGCACTATTCCTCCCACTGATACCAATGATGGGGCACTATTCCTCCCACTGAAAACCAATGATGGAGCACTATTCCTCCCACTGACACCAATGATGGGGCACTATTCCTCCCACTGACACAATGATGGAGCACTATTCCTCCCACTGACACCAATGATGGGGCACTATTCCTCCCACTGACCACCAATGATGGGGCACTATTCCTCCCACTGACGCCAATGATGGGGCACTATTCCTCCCACTGACACCAACGATGGAGCACTATTCCTCCCCACTGACGCCAACAGTGGGGCACTATTCCTTCCACTGACACCAACGATGGGGCACTATTCCTCCCACTGACACCAATGATGGGGCACTATTCCCCCACTGACACCAATGATGGGGCACTATTCCCCCCACTGACACCAATGATGGGGGGACTATTCCTTCCACTGACACCAATGATGGGACACTATTCCTCCCACTGACACCAATGATGGGGCACTATTCCTCCCACTGACGCCAATGATGGGGCACTATTCCTCCCACTGACACCAATGATGGGGCACTATTCCTCCCACTGACGCCAACAGTGGGGCACTATTCCTCCCACTGACACCAATGATGGGGCACTATTCCCCCCACTGACACCAATGATGGGGCACTATTCCCCCCACTGACACCAATGATGGGGGACTATTCCTTCCACTGACACCAATGATGGGACACTATTTCCTCCCACTGATATTAATGATGTGGCATTCTTCCTCCCACTGATACCAACAAATGGAGCACTATTCATTTTTACAGACTCCCATGATGGGCCATTAATTCCTCCCACTGACACCAACAATGTGGCACCATTTCTCCCAATGATACTAGTGATGAGGCACTGTTGCTTCTACTGCTACTGACCAATAACGGGGCACTGTTCTTGCCACTAATACCAATGATGGGGAACTATTTTTCTTATACTGACACCAATCTTGGGGCACTATTCCTTCAACTGATACCGATGATGGGACAGTATTCCTCCCACTGACACCAATGATGGGGCACTATTCCTCCCACTGACACCAATGATGGGGCACTTATTCCTCCCACTGACACCAATGATGGGCACTATTCCTCCCACTGACACCAATGATGGGGCACTACTCCTCCCACTGACACCAATGATGGAGCACTATTCCTTCAACTAATACTGATGATGGGACACTATTCCTCCCACTGACACCAAATGATGGGGCACTACTCCTCCCACTGACACCAATGATGGAGCACTATTCCTCCCACTGATACCAATGATGGGGCACTATTCCTCCCACTGACACCAATGATGGAGCACTATTCCTCCCACTGATACCAATGATGGGCACTACTCCTCCCACTGACACCAATGATGGGGCACTACTCCTCCCACTGACACCAATGATGGAGCACTATTCCTTCAACTAATACTGATGATGGGACACTATTCCTCCCACTGACACCAATGATGGGATACTATTCCTCCCCACTGACACCAATGATGGGGCACTATTCCTCCCACTGAGACCAATGATGGGGCACTATTCCTCCCAATGACACCAATGATGGTCACTATTCCTCCTACTGACACCAATGATGGGGCACTATTCCTCCCACTGACACCAATGATGGGCACTACTTCCTCCCACTGAAACCAATGATGGGGCACTATTCCTCCCACTGACACCAATGATAGGGCACTATTCCTCCCACTGACACTAAATGATGGACACTATTCCTCCCACTGATACCAATGATGGGGCACTATTCCTCCCACTGATACCAATGATGGGGCACTATTCTTCCCACTGACACCAATGATGGGACACTATTCCTCCCACTGATACCAATGATGGGGCACTATTCCTCCCACTGATACCAATGATGGGGCACTATTCTTCCCACTGACACCAATGATGGGCACTAATATTCCTCCCACTGACACTAATGATGGGACACTATTCCTCCCACTGACACCAATGATGGGCACTATTCTCCCACTGACACCCAATGATGGGCACTATTCCTCCCACTGACACTAATGATGGGGCACTATTTCTCCCACTGACACCAATGATGGGGCACTATTCCTCCCACTGACACCAATGATGGGGCACTATTCCTCCCACTGACACTAATGATGGGGCACTATTTCTCCCACTGACACCAATGATGGAGCACTATTCCTCCCACTGACACTAATGATGGGACACTATTCCTCCCACTGATACCAATGATGGGACACTATTCCTCCCACTGAAACCAATGATGGGGCACTATTCTTCCCACTGACACCAATGATGGGGTACTATTATTTTTTTTACTCTCACTGACCACCAAGCCTCAGACATTGCTTAGTCCCACAGACGGTGGGCATTTTTTACTCCCACTGCCCCAGTCCGATCCCGTAAAGTCTGAAGAACAGTAAACTAGCCCCCTGCTTGGAGCCCCCTGCACTAAAGTATAGAGAGCTCCATCCACTGAGGAAAAGAAGGAAGTATAAATCTGGTTGTGTTTTTTGACTTTTATTAGCGGCAGATGGCTGTTGGTCATTCAGGACGTGGAAACATATCAGAAAATTGAATTGCTGCATTAAATATATATTGGGAATAATTTGGCACTTAGTCTGAAATGAGGTCCCCTCCACTGGATTCACCCTTCGGGTTTTTTCTCTCTATTTCTATCTGAATATTAATATATGTTCCTCCATCTATTGCCCATGAAAACGGAAGAAGGAGCCGGGAACGGCACGTTTTATAGGCAATTATCCTAATTCTAGTCGTTTTACGGGGGATCGTTTCCACTTAACAATATCCCATCATGAAGAAGACGTGTCATTTGCTGAAGGACATCGAATCCTGAAGATTCCATTGACTCTCTCTGAAATGAAGTCTGTTTTACCGGAGTGCGTCCTTTAACCCCTTCCTGTCCGGCCCATGTATGTAAACGGCTGGACAGGAGCACTGCAGGGTCGGGTGGCCGTTTACAAATGGCCTCCCTGCCCCCTGCTTGTGCGCTCCCTGAGAGCGCGCAGCACCGCAATCCAGTCCCCTCTGGACACAGTGGAACACCGATCGTCGTACGGGACCTCTGTGTGAGGTCCCGATCATGTGATCACTGATTGACCAATCAGTGATCACATGAACAGTAGTAAGCAAGATGTCACTTCTGACATCATTGCTTACTATGTGTGAAATCTGTGAATGATCACAGAGATCACATGGTACAGGGCTATTCACAACAGCCTTGTAACATGTGACAAGCTGTGACCAATCACAGCTCACACAGTATTTCTCAATGGCTGCAAGAATGCAGAGAGAAGGAGAAAAGATTGCTTTTATAGCCTTTATGGGTATAAAAGCAATCAGTGTAATAAAAAAAAAAATCTTCATCACCCCCACGGTGACACTATACTGCTAGGGTGACAGTATGTAAAAAAAAAAAAACAAATAATAATATAAAAAAATAAAATAAAAATGTAAAAAATATTTAAAAATTCTAATTTTTGGTTATAAACTAATTTGGGTTATTTTTTTTTACTAAAAAGATAACTGAATACATTTTTGCCAAGATTTAGGACGAAATATTATTTATTTGCAAAATGTTATAAGAAAAACTATTTTTTTCAAAATTTTGGGACTTTTTCATTTATATAGCAAAAAGAAATAAAAATCCCAGCGGTGAATAAATACCTCCAAAATAAAGCTTCATCTGTCTCAAAAAAATTCTAAAAAAGTCATATGGGTACAGTGTTGCATGACCGCGCAATTGTCATTCAAAGTGTGATAGCGCTGAAAGCTGAAAATTGGCCTGGGGGCAGGAAGGGGGTGAAAGTGTCCGGACTGGAAGGGGGGGAAAGTGTCCGGACTGGAAGGGGGGGGAAAGTGTCCGGACTGGAAGGGGGGGGAAAGTGTCCGGACTGGAAGGGGGGGAAAGTGTCCGGACTGGAAGGGGGGGGAAAGTGTCCGGACTGGAAGGGGGGAAAGTGTCTGGACTGGAAGGGGGGGGGAGTGTCCGGACTGGAAGGGGGGGAAAGTGTCCGGACTGGAAGGGGGTGAAAGTGTCCGGACTGGAAGGGGGTGAAAGTGTCCGGACTGGAAGGGGGGGAAAGTGTCCGGACTGGAAGGGGGGTGAAAGCGTCCGGACTGGAAGGGGGGGGAAAGCGTCCGGACTGGAAGGGGGTGAAAGCGTCCGGACTGGAAGGGGGTGAAAGCGTCTGGACCGGAAGGGGGGGAAAGCGTCCGGACCGGAAAGGGGGGGAAAGCGTCCGGACCGGAAGGGGGGGAAAGTGTCCGGATCGGAAGGGGGGGAAAGTGTCCGGACCGGAAGGGGGGGGAAAGTGTCCGGACCGGAAGGGGGGGGAAAGTGTCCGGACCGGAAGGGGGGGAAAAGTGTCCGGACTGGAAGGGGGGTGAAAGTGTCCGGAGTGGAAGGGGGTGAAAGTGTCCAGACTGGAAGGGGGGGGAACGGACTGGAAGGGGGTGAAAGTGTCCGGACTGGAAGGGGGGGAAAGTGTCCGGACTGGAAGGGGGGTGAAAAGCGTCCGGACTGGAAGGGCGGTGAAAGCGTCCGGACTGGAAGGGGGTGAAAGTGTCTGGACCGGAAGGGGGGGAAAGCGTCCGGACCGGACCGGAAGGGGGGGGTGGGGAAAGCGTCCGGACTGGAAGGGGGGAGAAAGTGTCCGGATCGGAAGGGGGGGAAAGTGTCCGGACCGGAAGGGGGGGGAAAGTGTCCGGACTGGAAGGGGGGGAAAGTGTCCGGACTGGAAGGGGGTGAAAGTGTCCGGAGTGGAAGGGGGTGAAAGTGTCCGGACTGGAAAGGGGGGGGGGGGAACGGACTGGAAGGGGGTGAAAGTGTCCGGACTGGAAGGGGGGGAAAGTGTCCGGACTGGAAGGGGGGGAAAGTGTCCAGAGTGGAAGGGGGGGAAAGTGTCCGGACCGGAAGGGGGGAAAGTGTCCGGACCGGAAGGGGGGGAAAGTGTCCGGACCGGAAGGGGGGGAAAGTGTCCGGACCGGAAGGGGGGGGAAAGTGTCCGGACCGGAAGGGGGGGGGAAAGTGTCCGGACCGGAAGGGGGGGGAAAGTGTCCGGACCGGAAGGGGGGGGAAAGTGTCCGGAAGGGGGGGGGGAAAGTGTCCGGACCGGAAGGGGGGGAAAGTGTCCGGACCGGAAGGGGGGGGAAAGTGTCCGGACCGGAAGGGGGGGGAAAGTGTCCGGACCGGAAGGGGGGGGAAGTGTCCGGACCGGAAGGGGGGGGGGAAAGTGTCCGGACCGAAGGGGGGGGAAAATGTCCGGACGGGAAGGGGGTGAAAGTGTCTGGACCGGAAGGGGGGGGGTAAAGCGTCCGGACCGGAAGGGGGGGTAAAGCGTCCGGACCGGAAGGAGGTGAAAGCGTCCGGACCGGAAGGAGGTGAAAAGCGTCCGGACCGTAAGGGGGGGGAAAGCGTCCGGACCGGAAGGGGGGGGAAAGCGTCCGGACCGGAAGGGGGGGAAAGCGTCCGGACCGGAAGGGGGGGATAAAGCGTCCGGACTGGAAGGGGGGGGAAAGCGTCCGGACTGGAAGAAGATGAAAGTGTCCGGACTGGAAGGGGGGGGAAGTGTCCGTAGTGGAAGGGGGGAAAAGTGTCCGGACTGGAAGGGGGGAAAGTGTCCAGACTGGAAGGGGGGGGAAAGTGTCCGGACTGGAAGGGGGTGAAAGTGTCCGGACTGGAAGGGGGGGGAAAGTGTTCAGTAGGAGGGTGAAAGTGGTGGACTGGAAGTGGCTCAACCCACATTCACCTTATTCTCTTTAATTTTTTCCCAGTTGGGTAGACTCACCCTTGCTATCTGTCCTGGTGACCTTTGCCACCTTGACAGAAGGAAATGGGGAAATCCAAAACTGTACGGTTGTTAACAAAACAGGAAGTTAGGAGAAATCCTCAATTGGGGTCACTTGTTGGGGACACAACTGTCTAAGAGGGAAAATCATCCTCACTTTAGACAGATTTCCCCAACTTCCCATTATATCCTTGGTACATGAAATAAACAATGGCTACATTTATTTGCCCATTCCCTCTAATACAGGGGTATCAAACTCACTGCCATCGTGGGAAGCATCAGCATTATGGTGGCCCTCAACCGGTTGTATCTGTCCAGATGTCTGGAGCTCCGGGGGGTGCACTTCCTGTTCTAGGGTTCTGGCACTTCCTGTTCTAGGGTGACAATGCTCTGACATCTGATGATGGGGACTTGGACTTGACATCTAATGTAAGGGGGGGCCCTTACATTAGATGTCAAGTCCAAGTCCCCATCATCAGATGTCAGAGCGTTGTCACCCTAGAACAGGAAGTGCACCTTCATGGCAGGATCAACAGATTATTGTATGAAAGCTGCCAATTTACAGCTATTGAAAATTATGTTTTAACCTGGCAAAGCTTACTTGAGATTTTAATGATCTACATATGTATTAAGTCAAATACAGTCATGGTCAAAAGTATTTACCCCCCCCCCTTCCCATCATTTCTGTCAGATAATGCACCCCTTCACCCAGAAAATTGTTGCAATTACAAATGTTTCGGCATTCTCATGTTTATTTCTCTGGTTTGTATTGGTGACACAAAAAGTGCAGAAACAAAAAGCCAAATCTGACACTTCCATGCAAAACCCAAAAATGGACTGGACAAAATTATTGGCACCCTCAATGTGATATTTGGTGGCACACCCCTTGGAAAAATAACTGAAATCAATGGCTTCCTGGAACCATCAATGAGTTTCTTCCACCTCTCTGTTCCTTTCACCTCTATTCTCTTGGAATTTTGGATCGCTCTCCTTCCTCCAACTGCTCCGGTCTCTCAGATTGGAAGGTTCCTTTCCCCAACTGATGTTCTGAGATCTCTCCACAGGAGCTCTATGGGATGGAGATCTGGACTCATTGCTGGTCAGTTCAGTCCTCTCCATCGCTTTGTCTGACACCATTTCTGGGAGCTTAGTGACGTGTGATTTGGGGTCATTGTCCTGCTGGAAGACCCATGACCTCTGACACTGGAGACCCAACTTTCTGACACCGGGCCCAACATTGCACCCCAAAATTCTTTAATAGTCTTCAGATTTCATAATGCCATGCACACGGCCAACACATCCAGTGCCTGAAGCAGCAAAGCAACCCCAAAACATCAGTGACCCCCCACCATGTGTGACTGGAGGGACTGGATTCTTTTCCTCATTGGTTTTTCTGACAACAGTAGAATGATGGGCTTTACCAAAAGGCTGCCATTTTGTTTTGTCTGTCCACAGCACATTCTCCCAAAAGGATTGTGGCTTCCTCAGGTTAGTTTTGGCAAACTCCAATCTGGCTTCCAATATGTTTCTGTGTCGGCAGTGGGGTCCTCCTGTGTGTCCTCCCATATTTCTCTGTCAGTGGGGTCCTCCTGTGTGTCCTCCCATATTTCTCTGTCAGCAGTGGGGTACTCCTGGGTCTCCCACCATATTTCTGTGTCAGCAGTGGGGTCCTCCTGGGTCTCCACCCATATTTCTGTGTCAGCAGTGGGGTCCTCCTTGGTCTCCCACCATATTTCTGAGTCAGCGGTGGGGTCCTCCTGGGTCTCCTACCATATTTCTGTGTCAGCAGTGGAGTCCTCCTGGGTCTCCTCCCACATATCTGTGTCAGCAGTGGGGTCCTCCTGGGTCTCCTACCATTTTTCTCTGTCAGCAGTGGGGTCCTCCTGGGTCTCCTCCCATATTTCTGTGTCAGCGGTGGGGTCCTCCTGGGTCTCCTACCATTTTTCTGTGTCAGCAGTGGGGTCCTCCTGGGTCTCCTACCATATTTCTGTGTCAGCAGTGGGGTCCTCCTTGGTCTCCCACCATATTTCTGTGTCAGCAGTGGGGTCCTCCTTTGTCTCCCACCATATTTCTGTGTCAGCAGTGGGGTCCTCCTTTGTCTCCCACCATATTTCTGTGTCAGCAGTGGGGTCCTCCTTGGTCTCCTACCATATTTCTGTGTCAGCAGTGGGGTCCTCCTTGGTCTCCCACCATATTTCTGTGTCAGCAGTGGGGTCCTCCTTTGTCTCCCACCATATTTCTGTGTCAGCAGTGGGGTCCTCCTTGGTCTCCTACCATATTTCTGTGTCAGCAGTGGGGTCCTCCTTGGTCTCCCACCATATTTCTGTGTCAGCAGTGGGGTCCTCCTTTGTCTCCCACCATATTTCTGTGTCAGCAGTGGGGTCCTCCTTGGTCTCCTACCATATTTCTGTGTCAGCAGTGGGGTCCTCCTTGGTCTCCCACCATATTTCTGTGTCAGCAGTGGGGTCCTCCTGGGTGTCCCACCATATTTCTGTGTCAGCAGTGGGGTCCTCCTGGGTCTCCCACCATTTTTCTGTGTCAGCGGTGGGGTCTTCCTGGGTCTCCTACCATATTTCTGTGTCAGCAGTGGGGTCCTCCTGGGTCTCCTCCCATAGTCTCCCTTTTCATTCAGATGGCGACGTATAGTGTGAGCGGACACAGTTGCACCCGGTGCCTGAAGGTCGGCTTGAATTTCTCTGATAGTTGGTCGAGGTTTTTTAGCCACCATTCCAACAATCCTTTGTTGCAAGCTTTGATTAATTTTTCTTTTTTGTCCACATCCAGGGAGCTTAGCTACAGTGCCATAGGCTGTAAATGTCTTGACAATGTTGCGCACAGTGGACACAGCAACATGAAGATCTCTGGAGATGGACTTGTCACCTTGAGGTTGTCCATGCTTCTCCACCATTTTTGTTCTCCAATCCTCAGGCAATTGTTTGCTGCTCTTTCTCTCCTCCATGCTCCAAGTGGCACACAGAGACACCCAACAGGAAGGTGGAGGCCATTTTACCTGTTTGTCGGTGTGATTTCTATGTTGTCAGTGCCTGGTCATGGATACGGGGGAGTTTAATGACAAATTACAGAAGCGTCACAATTATTTCTTACAATTTTGAGAAGGTGCCAATCATTTTGTCCGGTCCATTTCTGCGTTTTTGCGTGGAATGCGTCAGATTTGGCTTTTTGTTTCTCCACTTTTTTTTTGTGTGTCATACCGATACAAACAAAAGAGAGAAACACGAGAATGCTGAAACATTTGTCATTTGTACATTTATTTGTTGGTTTGTCTTTTTCCTTCTAGAGAACTTTTTATTATTTATGACTGTAAGTATGATGAAGGTTGTATATTTATTGTCGGTTTCAGTCTTTTTCCTTCTAGAGAACTTTTTTCTTGTAAAGCTCATCATCGATGACGTTTAGCTGCCCTTGAGCTTGCAGAGCCCATGTAGGCCCCTCCCATTGCGCAAGAGATGAGCTCATGCGCTCACATTGTTCATGCTTTGTTACCTTTTGTTATTTCATACGACGGCTCTGACCCTTTACCTTATTTTCCACGTTGAAGCAAAACCACCTTCATCAATGCCGTCATTTGTGATTGAAGTTGTCACGGTCAGCGATGGATCTGGACAATTTGTTCAATATTGTACCCTTGAGGATGCATTAACGCAACACGTATTGGTGGCATCGAGAGACCGTTCAGGAACCACGTTATTAGAATATTTTGTTAGCTTTTGCAAACATGCAATAATCGGCATGTAAACCCAAATGTCCTATATCACAGCTTGCTAGACCTCAGATGTGGTGGCTGCATTCGTTTTCTTTTTTAGGCTTTTTTCCCCCCTTTATTTTCACCCGCTGATCTGTCCAGTAACACATAGCCTGTCTTAGGCTGGCCATACATTATACAATTTGCTTGAGATTTTTGTTTTAGATTTACCAAAAAACATATAAGGAGGTCAAACCCAAGGCTGGCCATCTATCTATCCATTCAGTCGTATCCGACCCTTGGCGATTGCATGGACCGTCACTCGCAAGCGACTTTTTCCATGAATTATCTTAGCAATTATTTTACAGGGTAGGTTGAAGGCTGGCCATACACTATGCAATTTTCTTAAAGTTTTCTGACCAATTTCCTTTAGATTTACCTTCAACTGTGTGGTGCAAGGGCCCTCCTAATTAGATACAATTGAAAGTGTTGTTTAGGTTTGACCTCATAT